TTGTTTATTCTGAGCATTAAAATATTTACTTATTGTTAAACTATTTTATGATAAGTTTATTGTTATTATGAGCTTACCATTAGACACTGCTTTTCATTTAGATTCATTACATGGATTTTTTTCCATTCCATCAAATTGTACATTTGTTGATAATATTTATAGTTTTACTCCTCTGTTGTAAGGGGCTGTCTTTAAATGATGTCCACACTGAAAGGGGGAGGGGGTTAAGACAAGTCGGACAAGGGGGATTGAGTATTAGTGAACATCCATTTATTTCATTAAATTTATACAGTATGCATTTTATTATATTTATTTCAAAGTTTCTTGTATGTTTCATTTTTACTTATGGTATCTATCATTCATAAAATGATAAAGGTTTTAACGGGGATAAAGTTATGTTGGACATCCTTAGAGGGAAAGAGGTTACAAAAACTGGGACAAGAGGAGGAAGTAAAAATTTCAAGAAAAATGCACATGTAATTTATGGACAGCCCAAGTGCTTAGACTGTAGAAAATGGACTTACACCACTTTCAAAATCAATGGTTATGCCGATAAATTTTCAATTGATCAAAGCTTATGGTTATTTTAAAATGTTAAGTGTGAATTGTTTATAAATAAAAAGTTTACACTAAATTGTATCTATATTATGTGTTTTCTCAACTTTTTCCAAAAATGGACTTACACCACTTTCAAAATAAGCGGTCCATTTGTTTGCCAATAAGCGTTTCTGGTTTCCACCCTTCTGATAACCAAAATACAAATTACTACTACATTTACATACGATATTATCAAATTTCAATAAAATTTAGTTTACATTGATGTTTTGTTAAACATGCGTTGACACTTTCACTGTCCAAGACATTAGACATTGCGGCCGAAAGTTTTCATCTCTAAAACGCGAACGTCAAACGCCCCATCTTTTAGAACGCCGTAGCCAAACGTCTAGGTTTACAATATGGCGGCGCTCAACGTTCACGGTTTTTTAATTTAAAGATGAAAACTTCGGCCGCCACAACTTCTATTAATAAATATCATTTTAGCAGGGTTCTTGAGTCCGGTTATGTCGGACACCGTCCCTCAAGACTTGTTTAAAAGGTACTCTTGGCGACCCAGGGCAGTTTTTAAAAACGCCCATAATTAACTTTTTAGCATGTAATTAAAATTTCCTATAAAAATCTCATAACAGATGGCGCCACACGCAATTTTAACTTTGAGCTAGGTTTAGTATTCTAAATTTTTCTATTAAAAGACTTTTTTGATTGGACACAAGCAAAATTTATTGACATCGTCACAATGCCGGGCTGCATTCTTTAATCATATTTTAAATTTAAAATAAACGCTTTCCATCTCAATTAGTGTCTTGCCCCTGTGCATCATACCTTTCCTGTTCATCTCTCCTTTTAGGGGAAATTTTTTGAATCGAAACGTGACTTCCCATCCAAACCAGAAGTTCGTATATAATTAATTGGGGTCTCCCACCCCTAAGCTTTCCATGTCTGATTTGGACTTTCATCTAACTCTGACCTTCCTTAATCTTGAGAACAAACGGACATTTACAGGTCTACAATTTCAGCCAAAAGTGCCTTTTAAGCTTTTGTTATTTAAACTTCATATCTTAGTATATCTGAAAATTACCAGACTTCTTTCCTGGTCCCTTTAATCTCCCATTCAAGTGTCCAGAAAGTTAAGCAACAGCCTATTTTGAATATGGTCCTGAATAAAAGATGCAACTACTGTTATACAACAGAATATGTGCATTGCACATTGTATTGCAAGTCTCCATATTCCAACATTACTTCTTCTCTCCTCCTTAATTGAATGTATTATTCAAATTATACACAAGTCACACATTACCAATACTTTAAATAATGTTAGTACTATATTTGAAGTTATGTAAGAAATTCTTTATTTCTGGTATAAAATAAACAAGATATCAAATGATACATTTCCTGGATTAAAATGTGCAAAATTATAAAAATTATTTTGACAAAGAACAAACATTTAAAAAATTTTCCTACTTTTTTTGAAACTACTTATAAGAAATTTTAAAAAACAGGACAATTTTCTGATTAACTACATCTTAAAGCTACTGTTCAAATTCATGAAATTCTGAAGTTTGGATATCATTCAATTATTAATCTCTGCATATAATGTTTATCTGAATAATTATAGAGTTTATTAGAACCTTCATTTATTTTAATATTTATTTGAACATCATTAAAATTTGTTATTAAAATTAATAATTCTAAATGAAATTTTAACATATGATATTTATTTGGTACTCAAACACAAAATTTGTGCTACTATTTAAACACTTGGCATTTTCTCATCTTTATTCAGTTGAAAGATGTATCTTGAAATAATTCAAATCAATTAAAATTTTTTGAATCTCACCTTGTACTCTTTCAGCATATATGACATCCTGGTGTTGAGCCATATGCATTATCCTTTATTGATGAAAATACGATATTTATATCAAACATTTTAACTTTTAAGCATATCAAATTTAGAAACATTCTATTTGGTTTATTTTAAAATTAATTTAAAAAATTTTTAATTATGTTGAATATTATGAAAATGTTTTTTATAATCTTCAAATAATATCTATTTTCATAGGAATAGAAAAGTTTATTTTCAAAATTTTATGATGCAACAATATATTTAAATGTTATATGAATCCAATATTAATTGAAATTTTAAACTTGTTATTGTAATTCCATATTCATGACTAGAAATAAAATAATTTATAAATTCTGCTTAATTTGTTATAAATGTAAAAATAGGCACTTTGAATATAGCAAGTTAACTTGAATATCATTTGTAATTTGCAAATGATATTAAAATGTAATTACATTTTCAATATAACAAGTTTATTCTTCTTCAGATTCCAGCATAGTTTTAAAACATAATGGTGCAAATATATATCCAGAACCTTTATAAAATTTGCTCTGAAATTCCACCCTAAAATGTAAGAAAAGTAATATTAATTTTTAAATTAAAACAAATAATAAAATAAATTTTTTATTATCAATTATACTTCATAAACTAATTAAGATTTTNCTTAAAAACTGTTGAAAAAAACTCAATGTGTTTATAGTATTAATTATAACTTCATTTAACATACCAGTGAAGTCGAAGAGCGTGTAGAAATGCAGAGAGACCTTCCATTATTAATAACACTCCAACTGTTAAAACAGCCCAAAAGAAAAATATTGGAACAAAAACAGCAGCACCCAGAAAATTTGTTGAAAAGTGGAGTGCTATATTCATTACCATAGTCCATAAGACTTCAGACAGTTCTAAAAACATTAAATATATATTTAGATTTACAAATCAATTACTTTCCAAAAAAATAATAATTTAGATAACAAAACATATTTCTATTTTGATAATACTTAAGCTATAAATTAAATATCTAGTTAAACTTTACTATTCACATAATGATTTCTTATTCTAGCTAAATAATGTTCAGTTTATTACTCAAATATTCCATATTTTAATTAATACACAAACTATGCAAATGAGAAATAAATTAAAATAATTATAAAATAAATAAATCTATTTTATTATATATATAAAATACTTATCTTAAAATCATTGCAACACTTTTTGTCATGAACAATACAAAATAGAAAAGGTGGCACTGAGAATCAGTGACTTGTCAGGAAATTTTTGAAGTGAACAAAATGAAAGAGGAGGAGTCCTGAGGGAGAAGCAAACCAAGCAGGGATTAGTTTGAGCAAAGCAAACAAAGATAAAGGGTTGGGCCAAGAAAGGAGCAAAGCAAGCATAGATGGTCTGAGGGGAATGACTTAAATCATCACAAAATCTTTGTTATGAATACATTGGGAACAATTAGACCAAGTCCAGGACAAGCAAGCAAAGAAAATACATAACCATGGAATAGAAACATTTTTCTTGAAACATTAAAAAATTTATGGTGTTTGTTTTGACAAAAGAATGCTATTTGTTCTGGAATCTGAAGGTTGTTCTATGTTTGGTTTTGATGCAGAATAACTAAAAGAAAAGATTTTTATGTAATTTGAATAAAAACTTATTTCCAACTCATTTGAGTGTGGAGGTGAATTTTGAAATGGATCTAAACTTAGTTTATGTTACAGAATCTTCCAGAATCTTCACCTAAAATTAGAAAATTAAGGTTTACATATTATTGAAATTTTTTAATGAATACTCTATATTGAAACAAGTAAGTGTACTCAAGCAAGAGGATGGGCTGTCTTATGCAGCTAAAAGGGTAAAGCCCCTTAGTAAACAAATAAATTTAATATAAAAAGTATTTAATGGCTAAATACAAAAACAAAAGTTTTATTTAAAATTTTGATAGCTCATCATCATCTCTTAAAAATGAAAAAAAATTCTATTCTTGATTTCTCTCACACACACTACATTAACACTTTTAAAAATTAATTTATCTTCAATATTTTGATATGTAAAGTCTAGACAGGTGCTCTGCATATATCTAATTATATAAAATGTTATTCAAAATAAATGTTTAAATTTGGAAGTTTGGAAATTAAATTTCCCAGTTCTGAATATAAAAAACTCAATAGAGCAAACTAATAATAATTTTGATCAATAATTTCATACAATGCATAATAATAATAATTTGGTATTTATGGAATGATGAAAATATTTTATTAAAGAATTTCATCAATCTTTTTGCCCATATTTAGATACTATTTAATTTATATCAAATTCTCAAAATTTAAACTAGTTTTAATAAAATTTTTAAATACTAAGAATTTGAAAAAATTAAATAAATAGAACACTTCTGAGAACCATTGATATCACCTACCTCTAGACCAAATTACATACAAATTAAAATAATTTAGTCTAAAAAAATGTGGATAAACTATGGTAAAATTTTGTGTATTATTTTCATTATAAATTCTAAGCTTGTTTAATTCCTGTGTGTTTAAAAAATGATCTTTGGAATCTTTAAAAACATTAAATTATTCAAATTTTTACAGTAACTTACGTGAATGTGCTAAACTAAGAGCCCATAACCGCAAATAAGAGGCAGTATGAGATATAGAACCTAAGCAATATTCAATAGTATGAATGGCTTGATTTATAAACACATCTGCAAAATCAAATTCTTCAGCTTCCCTATGTGGTGATTCTTGTCTCTACAGAAATGATAAGTATTTACTGATGAAATATATATTTCAACAAATATATAATATTTACTTATATTTAATAATAATCTTCTTTACATACCATATATCTAGGAGAATGATATTGTCTTCTAAGCATAATTGGCTTTACCAACAGCATCCAAGGAACACAGAGTAAGGCTAATATAACTAAACACTTTTGTACATATGGCTGAAATTAAAATAAATTGAATTGAACAAAATGTATATTCTCTCAAAACATTTTACAAAACTAATTTATAAAACTGTTTCCAGAAACTTTTATGCACTGAGTAAAATGAAAGAGCAGCAAGGAGATAAATTTCATATTAAATGATAAAGTTTGTGGGAAAAAACTTGAAAAGATAACTAACTCATTAATACTACTAAGTTTTTGAGCATTAACAACACAAACAAGATTATAATTTTATCGTTGTGCACATCTTCACTGTCTGATCAAAAGTATAGAACCAAATTAACAGATTTGCTGTTATTTTAAGATAGTTTTTAAAAAGTGCATTATGTTTATTATTTTTTTTGTTATATTTAAGTTATTTACTATTTTTGATATCAAAATTGTTAGCTAAAAGAGCAGTTCATTTAATGATAAGAAAATGCAATTGTTTATTTAACTGTGATTTTATTTCCTTTATACTGCAAAAATAATACATATATTAACTTTTTGTAATAATATATGAACTATATATGCAAATTTCTTTCAAATAAATTAAAATTTATTAATTTTGTGTTTCCCCACTGAAAGAAAAACAATTTGTCTCATCTAGTAATATGTAATTTTACCAACAACACAATTTCCTTGTAAAGTAATTAGAATGTATGTTTTATAAATAAAGGTATTTGACAGTTAATTTAAGTTTTAATACAAATTCAAAATAAAAGATTATCTATCAAAAATATAATTTGATTTCATTCATCAATAGTAATATTTTTGGATATTGCTTTTGGTTCAATCTGCTGTTTGGCAGTCATTTTCCACTTAACTCCTTTAGAATTGTTTCTTTATTTAAAGACACTTTTATTTTCTTGAATTATTTTTTATTAGAAATGAACAAATTTATCCCTATGTTAAAGACTAGATATTAAATATTTACTTACTTCTCAAAATGAGAAAGTTAAGCAATATTTTTGAGCAAATGGAAAAATTGTTTGTTTTAAACTAAGTATATAAACTATTTTTTCCATATCTTCCTTTTCTTCTTATAAGTAAATAAAGGTTTATTGATTTATTAAGTATTTCATGAATAAATCCCAGAAGAATGTAGTTTAAGGAATGAAAAGTATAAAAACAAGTTCAATAGTTGAGGTTTCTTATCAATATTTATGCATCATCATTCTTATAAATACAGGATGTCCTCCATAAAACCAGCCCCACTCATCAATTTAATAAAGCCAGACCATCAAATTAAACATCAAATTTCCATAAAGTTTTTTGGATAAAAGTAAGTTTTCAAAGACTTTTTTTGTCTATTTTTAATTTGTCTCATTTGTCCCTTATTCGAATATGAAGATTACAATAATTTACTCAATCCATAAATGGAGTCAGTTTAATGTGAAACACACTCAATGATATTTAAAATAAAAGCTTTTCCTAGAAATTAATTCAGTCTCAATATCTGATATCAAGCTAAATTATTGTGAGAATGCTTCAGAGATAATTTTTGCCAATTTATATAAATTATATCTAAATTGAATAAACAATATTAATATATCAAATTCTTATTTCTACATAATTCAATACTTAATATATGTCTCAAAATAGAAATACTATAAGTACTGTAAGACCTAATACAAGGTATTTAAGATTACAACTTTAAATTTAATCAAAATTATAAAAATTGCATACCTGTGCTGAATACATATTTGAAAGATAACAAGGAGATTCAGGATATCTGAAGAGAAACATGTTGATTAACATGATGAGTAAACTTGGAGCACAACCATAATTATTATTTTCCCCATAATAAGTAAGCCATTTTGCAATAATTAATCCAACTAGATAACCAAAAATACTTAGGAGAAATAGAAGTTGAGGAATGAAATCACAAAACAGACTCAAGTAATCTCTGAAAAAGCTAAGAATAAAATCATCATCAATATATTAATAACAAAATAATTTATTTTTATTTGATAATGAATACATATGAATTATCCAGTGTATATCCAGACTGATTTTACTTCAAGTAAATGCATTAGCATAACTCAATTGAACTATATATCCCTTATGCCTCATAAGACTGGTCACCTTTATGAAGCATGAATTCTGACCTATTTCCCTACATTATTACTAAAAATAGCATCAGAATGATTAACACTTGCTCAAAAACAGTAAACTTAAATTGTATTGAAGTTTCTCATGAAGGAAAGTGGCAGTAGTAGTACAAAATTCATTGCACATAATGTTCAGAGACAGCCCTGTAGCCTTAAAGTTTTATTTGAATGGTAGTTTCCATGGTAGCTATGAATTCATTTAAAATAATTACCTGTAGATGCAACACACAGTGTTGAAGAAATAATTTAGAGTGATTGTCAAGTCATCATTCATTAAATGGTGCATTATATTGATAAATGCATTAACAAAAGTTTTTTGAAGCAGTGAATGTTATACTATAAGTTGTTTATACATCACCTAACATCATCAGCTCTATACCATACAAAGTTTTAGACAGATGAGTGCCAAAATCATGAATTTTGGAAAAAAGCAGAATAATTGAGGAAAAAAACCGCTTCAGCAATATAATACTTAAGGCAATAATTTTCTTTAATAACATCACAAATGCAGATTGGCCTTCTCCCAAGTAAGTTCTGTACTCAAGAATTTGGCCACTGAAGTCATGACATTGGTGTGTTTGAGAGAATAGTGTTGTAGTGCTCAGTTTTCCTGTAAAAAATGTCAAATTATTCTGTTATTCTGAACTACTGTCTAGGAAAGTTCGTAAGATAATCATATAAGATAAGATAATAAATCAATAAACCTTTATTTACTTATAAGAAAAAAAGGAAGATATGGGAAAAATAGTATATATACTTAGTGTAAAACAAACATCAGGGTGTTTCAAACAAAAGTGTCATCTTATTAAAGAAAACTAAAACTTTATTTAAGAAAACTACAGTGATTCTTGTCAAAATGGATTGGAGTGTTGCTCATCTTTTATTGTTTCACAATCAGTCTGGATATTTACTGTGCAAACACACTTATAATAAACTAGTATTATAATTAAGAGATAACCAAATTATTACTTGTTGGTAGTAAATATAAATTTAAAATTATAACGGAATTATAATCCAAGAAATTTTAATATTTATGTTATAAGTAAATTATATATTTACAGACATAAATAAATTTTTTCACTAATTAAGGTTAAATAAATTTTAGAAAAGTTAAAAATTAAATTGTTATTAAATTAATTACCATTTATAACTATTTTAAGAAATATAAAAGGGAGATATTTTAATTTTTTTTTAATTTTAAAAAGAAACACAAAACACTATTGAAATAGAAGAAAAATATTGAAAGAAAATTACACACACACGCACTTACACACACATAACCAAATCTTTTATGTAAAATTCTATATATATAATCAAGAGAAAACATAAAAATGTACCAGAGCAGAGGTCAGCAACATTTCAGCAGTGTTGTGCCAAATGTAAATTATAGTATTATTCCAAGTGCCAACATGATTCTACCAAGTTTATTATATATGTTATCTAAATTAGTCCAGTTATTAAAGACTTCAAAAATGTATAATTCTGAAGTTAAGTTGTTAACTGAATTATGTTCTTATATGTGAAGTGCTCACATAACACATACATGGCGACAAGGAGCATAAATGTATGCTCTGTAATAGAAATATATAAATAAGAGATTTGTTTTTAATGTACCACAGCCTTCACTGAACTATGGTTAAATGTGTAATTAATAATTAAAATATAATTTTTACTACATTTCTATACAATCAGAGTGCCACTGAAAATCATTCCATGTGTCATAGGTTGCTGACCCCTGAACTAGAGTAACACATACATGGCGACAAGGAGCATAAATGTATGCTCTGTAATAGAAATATATAAATAAGAGATTTGTTTTTAATGTACCACAGCCTTCACTGAACTATGGTTAAATGTGTAATTAATAATTAAAATATAATTTTTACTACATTTCTATACAATCAGAGTGCCACTGAAAATCATTCCATGTGTCATAGGTTGCTGACCCCTGAACTAGAGTAATAAATAAAATTATATTTTAGTGGAAAAAGGTATTTATTTTATTGATTAAATAAAAATTCTTTTCAACACTTTCAAACTTCAGTAATAATAAAAAAAGTGAATGAACATTATTTACTTTCATTTCATATATGTTCTCTTAAATAATGGACCAATTAAAAATAAATAAAAGACAATGATTTATTAAAAATTTTGAATAATAAATTTATATATTAGGGTGTCCCTTATTTTTTGAATATTTTTTTTCTAACTCATATGGCCTAGTTTTGTTTATTTTACCGTTAAATACTCGCACAATAAATTTCACTCATTTTGGTCACTATATTATATATTTTTTAGCACATCTTTGAAAAATAAAACTGTGTGTGTTAATAGCCTGACAAGTTGTGCTAGAATGGCAAACAAAGCAAATACGCACCACTTCTCTAGCGCAATATGTATGGATGTGATTCAATGCAAGTCAGCACGTGTTTTAGTGACCAAAATGAGCTAAATTTATTGTGCAAGTATTTAACGGTAAAATAAACAAAACTAGGCCATATGCATTAGAAAAAAAAAAATTCAAAAAATAAGGGACACCCTAATATATAAATTTATTATTCAAATAAAGGAATACAGTGGTACTTCGATATATGTCTGCTTTAGAATACGTCCAATTCGGAATATGTCCTGTTTGGACAAAACAACTTTTGCTCAGTATACGACTTAATTCAATTATATGCATCATCTATGAACAAATAGCACTATCGGTGTACTAGGCAAGACTAGACGTTCGTGGTGCCACGGTTTATAACTTTGTTAAATTTCTTCTGATTTTAATTTGTAAGTAAAATTTTATTATTTTTATTAATTATTCATGAATTGCAAAAAGGCAAATGAAAAGCAACAGAAAGCTAAAAAAAATGACTAGAATCACAATGGAACTGAAAAAAGAGATTGTTGAGAAATATGAAGGTGGCATGCGTGTTCGAGATTTAACTGTTGCGTACTGTATTCTGAGAACGAAGATATCAACAAATAAAGACATTATTAAATCTGCTAACATTGCAAAAGGAGTTAAATCAATTTCTAAACAGAGATTGAAGACATTAGATCATGTTGAGAAATTGCTTTTGTTTGGATAATTGAAAAACAGTGTGCTGGCAACATCCTATCAGAAGCAATTATTTGCGAGAAAGCTAAAAAGATACATGCTGATCTCATGAAAAATCAAGCAGGAACTAGCCAGGAAAGTGAGGTGTTTAAAGCCAGCCATTTTTTTTTACATTAGAACGGATTAATCATTTTTACATTACTTCTTATGGGAAAGGTTGGTTTGGTATAAGTCCAAACATCAGAAACGGATTAAGGTTGTATACTGAGGTTCCACTGAATATATACAGTGAAAACTGCTTAGGCAACTACCTGCGTTCAAAGGGCACCTGTCAAAATGGGCAAAAATTTCTGGCACCAAATAGGTTATCCATAGAGCCTTCTTATAAGTTACCTGTACTAAATGATCACCTGTATAACGTGACTGCAGGCATCGATTTTTGGTTCGAAACAACATACATCAACTGTAAATAAGCAACCACTTCCATGAATATATCTGGTCTAAACTATTGTTCGACATTATTTCCCCCCTCCTAATGTAATGAATTAGTCTAAACTCTCGTTTGAACCCACCGCAGACACTTCTCCCACCCTTGAAATTAGGTGCGGGTGTTAATGAATTAGTCTAGCAACAAAGGAAATTCATTTCAGTTTGTTTAAAATTGTCCGAAAAATGAAAGAAATGCAAAGTGCTGTCATTAGAAGATCATGTTAAAGTTATCACAACAGCAATTAGTGGTGAAGTTTAACTGTGGGAAAACAAAATTGATTTTACTGTAGACCTACAGTATTTTCCTTGGGGGTATAAAATATTGTACACGATACAATTAATCAGCTGATCTCATCGTTTGATAAAATTTATTTTATTTATTTTGAAGCTCATATACAGTACATGTGCGATAAATAGTTTCTGTATTAGAAAAATAATATCCAAGTAATTTTCGCACACAAAATATTCAAAAAACAATAAACACATTAATGCAAAAATCAGTTTTACAGGCAACCTTCCTTTTTCGATTCTGCAATGACAATCGCAGAATGTACAGCAAATTACATTCCCCGATTGTAAATTATTTTTTCTCATTATATGATTTCATTATATTATGTAATGAAATCATATAATGAGAAAAAATAATAAAATCGTTTTACTATTAATTAATTAAGTTTTCTTATTGTACTTAAGAGAATGTTAAATACTAAAAAATACAGTATTTTTTAACATTAAAATAAGATTAAACTAACAAACACCAAAACCAAAGTGACGTAGAGATACGACACGTTTATATATTGATGACATAATACACGTAACTGAGAAGCGAACGAAAACCAAGTTGAATTAATTAAGTTGGAAAAAAGAAAGTGTGCATTATAATCGAGAAAATGCGACTATTGTATTAATCTTTAAAATATTGGTATTATCTGTCTTATAAAATCACGATGACTCCTGTAAATCGAGTTATCTGATAAGAATAAAATACAATACCAATACAGCTCTATCGTTGAAAAAATTTGCTTATTTTTGCTCACCTCGAGTTTTGCTTAGTAGAAATAGCTAAAAAGTGTGCAAAATATGTACAGAAATACGGTATTACAGCACCACCTGTATTAGATGACCACCTGTCTAAAAGACCTAAATTGACCTAACTGTCTAAAGACTAATAAATTATAATTATTAAATTTAATACAAGATGGTACCTAATGCCTCTCTCTTTGGTCAAATTTGTCAGTAATTTATAATTATTATACCCTGATGTCATATGGCAGTGGTTGTTGCTTTAGTACAGTATAATGTGTCAGGTTTTGTCAAGATATTTATTTGCATATTATGATTACAATGGAGTTGCTAAAACTTAATTGTAAAATATACTCCTGAACTTCAGGAGAGCTATCTTGCATTACACAATACTTCATAAAGAAATTATACAATTTTAACACAATGTTGAAAAACCTTGAAAAATTAATTGATATAGATCATTCATTGAAGAACAATTTTCCAAGTAAGACAAATCAAATTTTTTTATAATACCCACTAATTTTCTACATTTGCAAAGAATATGAAAGATTGATATTGGCTCTTGACACATTCTACGTTTTGTATTGATTAATTTCAAAAAATCTGATTCTAACATTATATAAAAACTGTTAAGTCTTAATTATATAAAGAACCTTTTGACTATAAATCAGGGGTGTCCAACCCGCGGCCCGCGGGCCGCATGCGGCCCAAGGCAAGTTCCAATGCGGCCCAATAAACGTGTAAACAAAACCGACAAATGTTTTAATTTTTTATTATTTATTTATTTCAACGGCATAAACTCAAAAAAAAAAGTTTCACAAAACCTTTATTCATATTTTATTTTTGAGTGGAAAGAAATATTTTCAAATACTGTACTTGGAGATGTGTGAATGCAGAAGGATTACTAAATAAAGCTGGAATTGTGACTCAAAGGATTATAGACCCAAATTTGTGAAAAGGAGGGAAAGATGAGAAAGGACAAAAGATGTAATAGTGAGAAAGGTTAAATAGATGTTCTGTTCAGCAAATATGGACCCGTAATTTTTCAACCTTTTACACTTCTTTATCTTTTGTCCTTTGTCTCTTTTTCCCACACTTGGGTCTATAATCCTTTGATTCACAACTCCAGCTTTATTTAGTATTTCTTCCAACGTTGCAAGATTTGGCTACATTGGGCCAAATGTGGTTACTTTCTTTTGTTTGACGTAAAAAAGATCATTTGGCGCTTTGGTTGCTTTTTCGGCTACATATTATTTATAATTATATTAACTGAATAAAAACGCACTTTAAAATGGCGTTTCGTCGCTTTTTATTAATTAGAGACCCAAATAAAACAAATATTTGTGTTTTTCAAATAAATTTTCGTTTGTCTCTTTTATAATAAATGAATTTATCTATTTCTAAGTAAAAATTGAAAGTGTCTGTAGAAGTAATTTTTTAAAATATCCTTTCTCTTGATAAAGTTTTATTAATTAATACTTTAATTAAATAAAACTTTAATTATTAAAGTATTATTTAATTAAACTTTTAAAGTTTAATTAAATAATACTTTAATTATAATCTAGACACGTTAGTTTTTAAATATACTTGTATATTGGGCCAGAAGTATATATTATATATACTTGTGGTCCAAAACTCCTTGACTTCTTTCAATGCGGCCCAGAGAAACAAAAAGGTTGGACATCCCTGCTATAAATGGTAAATTAGAACAGATGTATCCATTCAATGGTGGAATAGATAGATTGATGGAGTACCAACTATAAAACTTAGCTTTCTGTACAGATTGGTTTTCATAATCAATTAAATTATTATAAATAAGATTCCTTACAATATTTAATCCAAAAAAAAAACAATCCTGTTCTGTGGAGTCCAATAAAAGAGTCTATCTTTCCAACATATGACTAAATTCTGCATACCAATTATTAATATATGATCTCTTCAATTTAAATAATTTTTTGAAGTCCTCCATTATAATCTTAACTAAATTATTTTCATCATCTTTAATTTTTTTAGAAAACTTCAAAATTCTATTGATTAAAAAAGAAATCAACTGTATTCTATTAACATTATGCATGACGGCATATCCAGAAAAAACCTATCCAACTAAAACAATTTTCTTATATATCTAGTTTAAGTAATTTCCAAATGGTAAATCCAGTCAAGACCCCAGATAGGAAGAGCATAGCAGACAGAATTCATAATTATTGAAGAGAATAGCTTGAAATTTTTGAATCTTGTTGATTTTCAATAAATAGCTCAATATATAGATAAGACAACATATTATTCTGTCTGTTTTTGCATTTAGGAAATGTCTGGATTCGCATTAGGAAATACATATTGAATCAAATGAACCATATGATTTCCCGCAGCTCATTTTCCCTCTCAAAGTGGTTATCAATATCATAAATCATAAAGTTAAATAAATAAATATGGTAAAAATGGATCACCTTGTAACAGGCCAAAGCTAATTTCTATTGAATGATAAGTGAGCTTATTGCATTTTATAGTAATATTATATTAACCAAACAAAGATTTTAAAGCCTTAACAAAATTCATATCTGCTCTGTTCTTTAATAGCTTTTCAGAGTTTTCTTTTGAAATATGATTAAAATCTTTTTTGAGATCTAAAAAAGTCACAAACTTTTTCTCTCTTTTGTGATAATTATAATGGTGCCAAATAAGTCAAAATAAAAATCGCTAATTCTGTTCCACATTGTTCAGAAAATGAGAATTGATAATAGATTAATTCAAATCATTTATATTCTCCTTGACTAAATCTTATGGCCAAAATAGAAGTGAATACTTTTCTTAGCACAGACAGAATCGCTATTGGTCTATGATGATTAGGATTTTCCTTATCTCCCTTTTGTATATCATACAAAAGTATGCTGTTGCCACTCGTTCAGATACAATAAATTATATTAATGCATAAACTATTAATATATCTCAGGATATCTCAGGAAAAATGTTAAAAATACAAGATTTACAGTTTGTATAGCTGTAAATCTCTTATTTTTAACATTTATTTTTAACTTATTTTTAACAGGATGTAAAATCAAATAGCCAGAATTTAATTATTTTCACTAAATTACTAAAAAAACTTCACAATAAAAAATGATAGCAAATTTATCTTTAATAAATTTAAGAATTATTAATTAATAATTTAAATATCTTTCATTTATTTATGAATTTATTAGTTAAAATTTAAAAACTTAAGTAATTGCAAAAAAAATAATAATAATAATTCAAAGGACTTTTGGTAAGTTTTAAAAGTGGTCATAAAATTAATGTATTACACTTATTATAATGGTTTATTTCTGTTTTCTCCCTCCAAACTATTTCAGTAATATTACAAAAGTAAATTAAATTCAACTTTCAAATGTTTCTGACAAAATTTGTAATGTCCCAACCAAAAGTATTCAAAGTTTAATCAAAATTTGTTCAGTCATTAATATCTGTTCATATCAGATTTCTTATTTACTATCTCTACCATTTTTTTTTTAAGTTACACAAAATTATCAATGGAAGGATAGCACTAGCCTACACACATAATGACAATAATATTTTATTTAAAAACATACTCAGCTCTAATATCAAAAATAAAACATAACTGATTATAATAGTTTAATAAATATAAATAATGTAATTTTAAAATAAACTTTATAATAGCAATATTTTTTATTTAAAAATTTCTATTCTATATAAATATTTCTAAATTAGAACTACTTAATTTACTTAAATTTTAAAATAAAATAAAACACTATAGCAAATGACATTACCAATGATTCCAAGCACTTATAATAACACCAAACAGCATTTGAGATACTCCAAAAATAATCGATAATTTCATTTTATATGAATTTGTAAAAAGAATCTTGTTTTTTGCTAATGACCAAACCTATAAAGAAATATAACATTGATTTATTTCTTATATATTTAAAATTTAATTATAATAATTAGATATTCAAATTATACGGTGTTTTCCATACATTACTAAAAACAACAATAATTATTTCATTATTCAGTTACATACTACTGAATTAAACAAAATTATTCATTTATTACATAAAATAACCATTTCAGTTTGAAAATTAAACAATCATTAGATTCAATAAGTACATGCATTCTATGAAATTTTTACAGCAAGATTTTGAATATCATTTCAAATGAAGTTTCTATCAATTATATTAATATAAAAGAAATATCAAAAGTGAATAAATTTTTCTTCTTTGTTTTGCTTATTTTAAATCCATCTTTAACACTGAAAACATTAAAAATTAGTTGGAAATACTAAGAATAAAGCATGAAATATATTGGAACATATTTATCTGAATTGTTAAATACAAAATAATTAAAATCAGTATCAATGCACTTTATCTGTAGGTAATATTTTACTCATAGAAGATATTTTTAGCTTTCAAAATGTTCAATAAAATTAATTGAAAGAAATAATTATGGTATAAGTTTAAAAACTTCAATAAAATGAGAAAAAATGCATAAAATATTTAAAATTTTATACTATTAAAAGACAGTTTTAAAGCAGTCATACAAATTTTTTCAAAGTTTGTACTGAAAAATTAAAATTAGAAGAAATCTTTTTCTAAAATCAAAGTAATTCATTAAATTTAAACATTTTATGAGTAATCAATTTTGCTTTGCTTGCAAAATATTGAAAGTTTAAATATTTATAACAATATAATATTTTCACTCATTTGTTTCAATATATTAATTTCAAAACTTTTTTAATGAATACAGTAATACCCCGAACTTACATGATAGGTGGGACCAAGCAATAACCACGCGAGTCGAATTTGCATAAGTCAGGGTATAATTTTGCAACTTGTGTAAAATCCAAGTCGGATGTATGTAAGCTAATAAATGTTCTCATTAATCTTATCTCGTCTTTTGATTCGTTCACGGTTACAAGAAATTACCACATAGAGTCTCTCAAGTCTCCGTAGATATAACGAACACAGAAATAAATAACACAAAATAAATTGTAGCTATGCGTCGATTCCGCTCTACACGTCCAAACATGTAAGCTGAACAATAGTGTTGGGGGAGTGAGTAATCAAGAGTTGCGTGGCGCTCAAACAAAAGATGAATCGATGAGATCTGAAAATTGCGTAACTCCGGGTTCGCATAAGTTGGGGTAGCGTAAGTCAAGGTATTACTGTATTTATAACAGCTATTACCTTGCAGATTCTAGAAATCATAGGCACTTCTTGTTATATTACATTTTGAAGGACAAATTTTATTTTTTTAAATTGAAAAACAACTAATGAAAATCTTACAAATTACAAATAGCAGATATCAAACAATATTTAAGTGCATATTCATATTCAAATAGTTGACTAAAAAACAGATACATGCTTACAATATTTACATTTTTATTTGTTTATAAGAAAAGTGTACATGATATTTTGAAATTTATCAATATTCATATCATTTACAGTTTTCTTATAAACAAATAAAAATGTAAATGATATGAATATTGATAAATTTCAACGTGAGATTAAAAACCAAAAATATACTGTATAGACAAATATCTAAGCCTGAATTTTATTAGGATATGGTTAAATTTCAAAACTAAATGTCAATATGTTCATGGGCATCTGCAGAGGGGTAAACAGGGTATATATTGCAACTTTCCTTCCTGGGAATGAGTAAAAAATTCAACAAATTATAATCACAAAAAGTGATTGAGGTATGTAACCTTATACCCTTAACCAGGGAAAATTTGATGCAACACTGTACAGGTATATCGCGAGTTACATCGTTCTTGATTATATGTCATTTGTCAAAAAAGTATATGGAAAAATAAAAATCAAGTTTAAGTAATTTTATTCGACTTTACGTCCGTCCGCCACAAATATTGAAGTCATAATATCACTAGAAAAGCATTAAAGAACATAAAATCATATTAAAATATGTACATTTACAGTAAATGTTAATATACTCATCATAAATCCTAGTGAACGAAACATGAAAACATCTGTGTTGTTGTCTTATTTAGCAGTCTTTAAGTGCTCCCCAAGGTAGCTCCAATATCTACCATTTGGCATCATCATCAGTGCCACTCGATATTGGTAAATTTAATATAAATTAGTTTATTTTCTATTGTCGCAAGATAATTTTAATAACTGTATTTGTTATTTATCATTACAAAATCATCTTATTTTATAATGTCTTAGAGCAAACCACATTCACAAATAAAGAGTCCGCAATGTACTGTAAACATCGCCAAATTGTAAACATGTTACATTTACATGTATGTACTGTATGCACATGAATTCATAAATTTAGATTACTTTTTTCTGTACTATATTAAAAACTAAAATTTATTTGTTTGTAAGCTTAAAACAGATTCTTATTAACCATATATTATTAAAAATGCATTTACTTTATAAATAAAATACAGAACTGGGAATGGTTATTTGTGGTTTAGCCTAGTGACAAGTAAATTTGACTTATGTCGTTTTTCGACTTAAGTCGCCTCTCCTGGAACCAATTACCAACATCAGGCGAGGTATATCTGTATTCTATAATCTACTTCTGAAAAACCCCAAAAAATTAAATAAAAATTTATTGATGTAATTATTTGTCTCCAAACTTTGCCCTTTAAAAAATTTTCTGCAGACACCCATGTCTATGTTTCTTCTCTCTACTAATGGTCCTATTTCTACTAGTAAACTCATTTAATTAAAAGTACTTAAATTTAAAAAAATGTGCAATAATTCATTGACGTATAATTATCAATTATAATTGTCTATTGTATATAACATAGGTAAACAGAATAAAACTCTTTTTACTTACAGGATCTAGTCCAAAAGGATAAGGATGACCAGTATAACTAGTACTCATATTCAGTTGAAAAAGTGAATTTACAACTTGCTCATCAGATCTAAAAAAATTATTTTGAATATAAAATACACATCTATATTAACTAGAAAATTTCAGAAACCAAATCTAAATATAACATGTACTAATAACATACAGAAGATAAAGTACAAATTAAAGTAATTTACAATATAAATTTGTTAATTTCAGAGATTCTGATCATCCTCTTAAACCATGAAAAGGTTTTCTATCATGCTCTTAAAAAAATTGGTTAAAACTCTATCATATATAGTTCTTATTTCAACAACATTGATTAATATCATAACCCATATATATCTCCAAAATAGTTCTTGTGAAACCATGGTAATTTTTTGCTTTTATGTTTGCTTTTTACTTATATGTTTGCCTTCACAAAAATGGCACTCATTTAAAACATTAGACTAGCATTTCTAATGATGAGCTAAATAAACAAAGTATTTTAATGCTCTTATGTATATTAAAGTATTATTTTTGACTTAAGTTTAATTTGTTAACTAGTATAAATGAAATCATTCATTATAGAATATAGACTTCATGACTATTTTATTTATAGAAATATTTCCAATTCTATTATCTCTAAATTGCAATTTTATTATATCAAATTATAGTCATTCCTTCTTGAAAGTAAACCCAATAATTGTAATTTTGCTTTTTATGTTTTCCTTCTTATCACATTACCCTTTCCATTCTCAAAAAACTATAATAAACTTAAGAAATAATTTTAAAGCCAAATATCACCAGATTAGGTCAGGCTATATTACTACCACCATTAATAATTAAATGCTAAGTAATTTGGCCTAGAAGTAGGTGTTAGCTACCATCTCTTATTAAATTTAATAACTAAAATCAAATTAATACTTATTAATTTAGAAGTGATTAACCAGTATGGTTACACAGTTGATTTGCCTTAAAATGAACACCAATATTGGGAATTATAGCATTAAAAGCAAATTTTGCCATTGTGACAAAAGGGCATTTTGCCAGGGTAACTTTCATGTCAAAGTGATCAAAAATGTTACCAGAATTCATTAAACCAAACTGTAAATTACCTATACAACCCCTACATATTAACTATTTCCAATAATGGTTGATTTTTACACTTTTCAACTTGAACAATAAAAAGTGATACTGTAATAAACATTTCACTTTCAGAATAGATTCTCTTCTCTTAGTAAGCAATAGTGGCATGCAGTGACATTTGATGATAGGGAAGCTGTGTTTCTGTGAGAAGCCGACTTCCAGGGGCAATCAGTCAGTGGTGGTCTAAGGTCCATTTGTATTCGTTTGTTCGGTAAGCCAATAAAAACCGTAGACTTATCTAAATGTATTTTTAAATAATAGATTATCTAACAAATAAGTTGGGTTAAGTTATAAATCTACTCATGATTCACATAATCGGGCAAGAGCAGCTAAATATCTAGCAGGTAGGCGAATAACAGCCCAGAACCGGTCCTGGATAGAATCATTGAACGCATTATACATGTGTAGCTTCCACTAGCTAAACCAGGTGAGGTTGGTGCTCTGTAAAGCGCATGCGCGAATGAGTATAATCTGGCTGTTAGGAAGCTGACAATACAGTGCTTCCATTCTGCCACTATTAAACAAATATATAATAGCAATCTTATTGTTTTTTTCACATGTAGTATAGAAATTTGTAATAAGATACATAATGCAGGTTATAATAAAATATTAATTTTAATTATATGAAAATAATCGCGTAATATGTATTTATTTTTTAGAAAATACAAGGGAAGTGGCGCTTCCACCGCTTCTAATGACGGCACGCCACTAATAAGCAAAGGCTGGTTCAACCTTTGATTATAGAGCAATTCAAATTTCTGGTTTTAGCAGAAAGTAGGGGCTAAAGTTTAAGAATGCCAACCTCTTTACATAGATTCAAGCCCATCCATTTTGTAGTTTGTATAAGGGAGTGCATACAGTGATCAGGTTTGGCTACATTGCACCAAATTTGGCTCATTTTTTACACTTTTGGCACAAAAAATTTTTTTATACTTTTTCAATCAATCTTCAACAGAAAAAAATAATATGATTTTTTTTTTAGTTTTATTTTGTTTAATCACTCTAATATACTGCTCCACACTTCTCATTTTGTTGATTTGAAAATCACTTAGAACATTAATTTGTTTTATAAATAAATAACTTNTAACCTAAAAATATACAAGTATTTACAATTTTTCCATTCTCATGTCACAGGAACAATTTTCTTTGGCAAAATTTACCTTTTTATGTAGGCTCTCCTACATAAAGTAATTGTTCTTGTAACATGAGAACAGACAAATTGTAGACTTTTGTATATCTTTAAATGAATTTTTAAACAAATTTATTAGCCATGTTTTAATTAACTAATGCTTACTAAGTTTAGTGTATCTAAATTAACTTTCTAAATTTATTAATAAATATTAATTTAATTATTAAATTTTATAAGAGATAGCACCTAATGCCAACCTCTAGGCCAAATTACTTAGCATTTAATTACTAATAGTAGCAGTAATATAGCCCAGTCTAATCAATTGTTTGGCTTTAACATAACTATCAGGCATAGAGATATTTATATTCATGTAAGAAGTAATTTTTGTCCAATTTCTACATTGTGTCTTTCATTTCACAAGTGACAGTTATACAATACTTCAACAGGGATTTAAAACATCACCACCTTTAAAACTGATAGAAATACAAAATACCTAATCATTTAATTTTGGGCATATAATCAATGGGTTACCTATACATAAAAGTCAGTTTGAAAGCAGGTATGAATTATGCAATGATACAAGTTATCTCCTGATCTTAACTGACAAGTATGTTCTTGTCAAACAGCTTTTCTTTTATATGAACTTACCAAGAATATCTTAAAAAACTTTTCATACTGCAAAGGTTTATGTTTTTCATACATTTTTCATTGCAATTTTCCTGAAACAATCAAAGGCAAATGTACACAGGTGCATTGCATTTGGTCTTCTGTTCTAATTGATGTTATTAGACACTTCTACATGTTTTCTATTAGGCAGAATAAGTTTTAACCCAGTAGAATTATTACTGGCTAAAATCAGACATTTGAACTTGTCAAGTTTCTAGTATTTCTTTTCTCTCTATGAAATGCTTCTCAGTATTGACAAAAAAATTTATATTTTTCAATAAAAGTAAAGTTTTTCAGTTTGTTTTAATAATAATAATAAACATTTTATATTTTATTATTATTATTAGATAAAAAAAATACATTTTTAATGTTTGAGTAAATACTTTCTAATGTATATGAATAAGTGTCACATTTTCAATGGCCATTTTGGAAATGTGACAAACACTGATATGAGTTATGAAAATCTTTATTTCAGTTCTAGTAATTTTTGTAGGCTATATAACTGATGCCAGTTATATGTATAAAATCATGATAACTGAATTGAAAAACTTTATGAAAAAGTAGTAGTACATTTTACATCAGTTTCCCATTGAATCTGAATTTATGGAAAATAGAATTAATGTTTAATGAATTAAATTCACATATACCCAAACTTTAAAACAATAGACAAATTAATTATGACAATCTGTATAATACTATATACTATACAGAAAAATTACAAAAGTAACCAGTTTAATAAAAAAAATGTCTAAAAATTTAATAACTACATTCTATATTCCACAGTAATAAATGTTTGAAATGAGAATTACAGATAAAGCCAAAGCAAATGTTTTGTATAAATTATCTAAAACTTACATGTTAATAGGTTTCCAAGAAGAACCAAATATATTAATAGATTTTGAAAAAATATCATTATAAATAAGGCCAGTATAAACTGAAAATATTCCCATCAATAAGATGATATATCTCCCATTAAAGAATGTGTTCCATATCTGAAAAATAAAATGAAATGTTTTATATATTAAAATTTTCAATTTACAGTAATTTATACTAAATTATATCATATTTAAGTTATGAAAAATATATAAGAAAAAACAAATAAATGTAATTTAGATTAGTTCTCTACAGATTAAATAAATAACAATTTATCAGAATTTTATATTATTTGAATATTATCAATTGTAAATTTATTCTATAATCAAATTTTACATCAAATTTTTAAAATGTTAAGTAATAGTTAATATAAAAAATGTAAAGATATAAATTTACAATATTATGAAAATTGCTATATAAATATAGGAAAATATTTTAAATTTTCATGATATCTTTAAAACAAGAGCAATTATTAATTTACTTTTTACAAGAAAACAAAGATCATATAAATGACCCAATCAAGTATTTAATACTATTAACAGAACAATGGTTTTTAAACAAGAAATGTATTATGATAAAAATGAAATTTTAGTAATGATTTCTTGAAATCTTATAAAAGTAAATTGAAGTGTAGATTAGTTACAGTTAAACTGACAGTACTCAGATGTGTGGAGCCAACTCTAATGACAATTATACAACAAGCATACAAAATTTTATAAAAAGAATGAAATTTTATACATTTTCAGTAAGTGCTCAGTGTAGGATTCTTTGTTGCCCACCAACATATAGTTGTAAAACCACATTATGTCACGCACAACATTTTAAGAGGAATCTGGGATACAGGTTACACTATGCTGACCCTCAACTCCAATATTAAGTCCACAGGCCCTTTTAATATAATGTTAAACATAATCTTCCAAATAACTCCACAGCCAGAAACATACATTTTCAACTGAACAATGCCACATTTTTTCATGGTATGAAAAGTTCAGCTATTTTTCCCCATAACACTCTTCTCCATGATCTGCATTCCATGTGTACCAAGTTTCATTTGATTCAATTTTATAAAGCTGGCTCCACACATCTAAGTACTGTCAGTTTTTCTAACCATTCTGTATAAAATTCTATATAAAAATACAAAGTATTTGAAGGTTTTTTAAATAAACTGTACATACAATACATACCTAATATTTTTATATACAAAAACTTGTATGAAAATATCTAATTTACTAAGGAATTAAAAGTTTTATAAAAGTATTTAATTTTATTAGATTTTATTTAAAGCAGGATGTCCAATGTAAAATAGTCTTCATTCACTGACTGAATAAAACTGGGCCATCTTAAGGCATTGATAATGCAAGTTTCCATAATGTTTTGTGAATAAAACTAAGTTTTCAAAGAATTTGTCTAATTTTATTCTCTCTCATTTGTCCCTTTTCCAATATGAAAATTATAATAATTTACTCACTCAGTTTTAAATGGGACAACATAAAATATTTTCAAATATTAATGCATTCTTCTCAATAGTGAGATTCAAACAATTTTTCAGTTTAACTATAATATTTCATTATAATTGTAAAATTTGTTTTTCTATTAAAATTTAATTACATATTTAAATCCAATATTTTATACTGCAAGTAGTTTCCATTGTTGACATTGCTTACTTATGTTATATCTTATATGTTTAAAAATTATTTAATGTTAAACAGAAATCTAATATTACCAGAATATTGTTTTATTTGCTATTTTAATTTAACCTAAAGAAAGTCCTGTCTCTGATATTCTATACACCAAGAACTGTTGAATGCTACTCACTGTGGAGAATAGTCTGGTTTGCACATGTTTTTCTCAAACAGTGTAGTTGATATGAGACAATAAAATTTTAATCTGTATATTCAGTAACATTGAACTAAAATGATATTCATTATAGTAAAATTAAGTATAACATTTTAAATGAATTTTAATGTTTTTGAATAAATGTAAATGGATGCACAAGTGTCAAATTTCTACTCTGCTTTAAGTAGTCTTAAGTGATACTTAGGACTACTTGAAGCAGAGTACAAATTTACACACTTGTATCTGCTTACACGTAATCACTGTAAAAAAAAAAAAACACAACACCATCATATATGTATAATCTTAAGAAAAACTGTAACTAAATCCATAAACAATTTTAGTATTTCATAAGGAAGGATGGAGAATATCTAAAATCTAATATGACATTATAATTAACACACTAATTCTTAAAGATTAGAGTTGCCACATGGCGCTATGTTTTCTCCAAAAAAAAGGGGCAGGAAGGATAAACATAGTCTCAAGAATTATACTATCTACAACATATTAGACTTTTAGTATTTTTAGGCAAAGTTTTTTAAACTAGAAGAAAGTTTTTAATGGCAACAGTGCCATCATCTTGTACAAGTTTAATTAAATTCAAAATCAATTTTTATAATTTAGAAAACCAAAAAAATATGGTGTAATATTTAAACTCAACTTCTGCAAACCAGGCTCATATGCAAGCATGTTACTAATTATGCTATCCATTAATCCAATCTTTTCTTTGAAATATAATGTACTGTACTTGCCTAGTTTCCATAATCAGGTTTGACTTGTTTGAACTGATCTTTTCTTCCAAAATTTTCTAAATTGTTTAATTAAAAATTAATCTCTAATTATAAATATTATTTAAGATGGTGGTACCACCATTTAGCTTTAAGTCAATTTAATATCAATTAAATATAGAATGTTCAGTCATTGTGCATCTACGTATCATTTTTTTTACAGGTATACAGTGACTTTTCAATATGCCCTGTAGTAAAAATATAACCTGAAAAATCAGATACTTGTTTTGTTTTATATTTAGCATTATTAGAGTCAGTCTTAGATATGTATTACATTTAAACTGAAATATTTAATTGTCTTACTACCTTATGTATTGGTACAGACAACAGTTTTCACTTTTTGGCACTGAAATTTCTCCATGCATCTCCATGCAAAGATTGTTTACTCATTCTCATTTCAACCTATGTATTGTCACATTTCGTGCAAAATGATTCCATATGAAAAATATTCATCTATATGTTCCAGCCCTTAATATGTGAGTATTTACAATGAGACATTACTGATAAGTTAAAATGTCTAAATAAAAGTTTAATTAATATACATGAATTTAGAAGATAATTTTTAAAAAGATATTTTAGTCCTGTGTTTATGGATTTTAAGCTTTAAAAATGGTAAAATAAATTAATTTAATTCATTATTTTATATTTTTAATCCTAATAGAATTAGTTATAAAAATGTTTGTAAATTATTTTTCTTTGTGATAGTACTGTAAATAGCTTTGTTTATAATTGTGAATGACTTGTTTCCATGAACCTTTTGAACTTTAAAAAATTTTCTATAAATGATGATTTGAAACATAAAAAGTTTGAAAATAGGACATTCCGAAAACATTTAGATGATAAAAATGTATTTTAACAAATATCACCAAGATTGTGTGTGTGTACAAGTTTTAGAAATAAAAATAATTTATTATTTGCTATTTTAATATTCTCATTAATTCTTTAATATTATAAATAACTTTATAAAATTCTAAATATAATAAATCAGTTATCAAAATAATTCAAGTTTTAATTAAAGATATAAAATTTAAATAATAAAAATTTAAATTAAATAATAAAAGTAATTAAATAGTAAACATAAAATATCATAATCTTACTTCTCCATTAGACTTTTGTTTGCTAAATGTATTTTCTTTAATTACCATCCAGAGAGCAAATAAAAACATTAAAAACCCATGACCAGCATCACCAAACATCACAGCAAATAAGAAAGGAAATGTAATTATTGTATATGGAGCTGTAAATTAAAATTTATATTATTAAATTATTATTATTATTGTTAGTTTTATGAATAAGATAAATGTATTACCAGGATTAGCTTCTCGATAATTAGATACACCATATGCATTTACTATATTCTGAAACCCAACTGTAAATTTATTTGTAGTATTGAAAGTAGGAGGTTGTTCATCATGAGAAATACAATGCAATATTGAAGGCATAGAGCTTCTACTTTTTTCCTATAAGTAATTTATTAATCAAAATTTTTAATAAATATTAACAAGTTTAATTATTTTGTCAATTAAAAAACATTACTTACAGTTCCATTTAATAATGCTGCTTGAACTTTTGGTATATCTTTAGCAGCACACCAGCATTCAGCTATAAGACATTTTCTTGTAACATCTTGATCAAAAAGATTCAATGTATGATATATAGCTTTTATTTTTCTGATCTTAATAAACCAATTTCGTATGTTTCTAGAAGTATTTACAAGTTGTCGATGTCTATGATCTTCAGTTTCATTTAAAATCTGTACACACATTAAGAAGAAAAAGTTTGAGTGGAATTCCATGTTTTCTTGTGAATCTATTTTATGATTTTTTGATATAGCATTAGCTATGTTTTTTCTGGCATTCAATTCTTTATTATAAAAATCAGATTAAGCCAGTCTACAGTAAAGAGTTAAGGACAATTCAAACTTCACAAAAACAGAAAGGAGAAAAAAATTAGTATTAAAATAGTTTAATACACAATAACTGATGCATTTTAACGACATATTTATTCCCTTTTAATTCAAGAGAAAATTAGAAAATTTCTACTTTTCTATGTATATTTTTGAAACTTGCATAATGAAAATATATTCTAGTTTAATTTAATTTCCTTTACTAGTTTGTTCTCAAATTTATTTAAAAAATATTTTAAACTATTTATTAAAAGCATACCCTATATTCTCTTTATACTCTATTACATTCTTTTAAAGCATTTTATAATGATTTGTTTTTGATATGTATTTTAGAATGTAGAACTATGCTGAACTATATTTGAAACCATGAGTGCTGAGAGTATCTCATTATTTTGACACATAAACAATTATGAGAAAATAACAATAGAAAAAAAACACACATTCAAACTTTGTAAGACAAGAAAATAAATTCATTTCCTACTGTTTTTCTGGAGCTATGACTATTAGAAGTAGTTTGCTAAATCAACTGCATCCAATAATCCAAAATATCTGGTAATGCAGCACCCACTGAAAAGTAGCAATAAATTTCACAATTGTCCAATAATCATCTATGTGGTAGTATTGAAATTTGTTTGGACACTTGTTGTAGTATACTGAGCAATAATGTATTTATTAACATTTAATTTTTCAACTTTTCCAATAAATCTTAATACAATATAACTATGCACCTTATAGACTGATTAAAGTGTGTTTAATCAAATCAGAAGCATGCAGCAGCATGTGCTGATACAAAATATATGTCTGCAATGTTCAGATCACATATAACTTATTAAATTTTCACAAAATTTGATAAGTTATTATTTTCCATAATTTGTAATTCATTTCATACATTAAATCAATTAAATGTTACTAATTGTTGCTTTCAATTAAAGGAGTTCTCGTTATTTTATTCATTAATTTTATAAAAATACACAAAATGTAATAATTAAATCTGTAACTAACATTTAAGTACTTACAGTACTAATATCTGCAAGACGAACCAAAATTCCTTTTAACTGTTCTGATCTTTCTACTTGTGACTCTGGACATGGATACAATGTTGCTCGAAAACTATGATTATTATATTTTCAAATTAATTAAAGTTAATTTAGAAATTTTTAAATTATATTGTAAACAAAAATAAATTCTACTAACCCTTCACAAATTTTTTTCACTTTTATTTTCAATTGTTCTCCTTGGAAAAATATAAGAAAAACAGATTTATTGACTTTATCACCCTGAAATAAAAAATTGAAGTTAAATGTTTTTGTATAAAGTAACAGTAATTCCTATAAATAATTTCAGATTTGTATTGTTTTTTTTTAACAAACATTACATTGTATTTCAACACTATGTGCAGAAAGTTCACATTTAGTATATTATATAAACATCATTTAAAGTCAATATTGCCATCACTTAAGTCATAATAAGTAGAATCATAACCACTTATATACAGCTGTTAGAAAATATAATCAGCTCTAACTTCAATCTAAAAAGTTTACTATTCTGGAATGAAAGGAAACTGTTAAGCATAGATTATATTATGGTGTTATCCAAGTAATATAAAAATTTGTATAGTTACCAATTATATCTATTTAATAGTAAATGAAACTGAAAAAATATTTCTATTTTACTTCTCAATTTTTAACTTTTGATTTGTTTTTAAAAGTACAAGATAATCATAATTAAATCTAATATACCATACTAGTTATATTCAGCAAAATATTTGCTATAAAAATTAAATTAAAAAGAAATAGAAAAAAATAAGATGCAAATAATTATTTGTATAAAGTTTATTAATGTAAAATCATTTAAAGACAGCAAGTACACATTACAGCATTCAATAATTTGAGCCAGTTCTTGCATTAAATCAGTCCAAAGGCATTTGTGAAATTCGGATCGAATTAAACGAGTTTAACTCATTCAAACAACGAAATTAATGAATTAAAACATTTGTTTTAAACAAAGAAACTCTCTATTTTTTCGCGCTATCGAACCTTTTTCGGGGGCGGATGTTCATCTTCCCGTCCCCGGAGTTACTTCCTTTCCCTCCGGAACACAAATCTGACTCAACAGGATCTTATCCAAAGAAATCTATGATTGGTGTAAAAAGACAACGTGATATAAGATCTACCGAAGATATAAAAGAGAGGACGACAACGGAAGGGAGTCGACTTTGCCGTCCGTGAACAGGTCCTTCATCTCTCGTCGAAGACCGTCACCGCCGACCCACCCATCCAGCCAGCCGCTCGTCAATTGTCCAGCCACTCGTCGATCCCGGAGGAGACTTCCCTAGAAGACCTACTGGAGAGAAGCTTAACCTCCATCTGAATTTCTATCCGTATTAGCCATTGAATTCAACAGAGGTATGAAACCCCAAAGTATTGTGAACTCTCTCTCGGCGCGGCCCTTCCAACTCCGTGGAAACGATATATATTCTCTTTGTTAGTTTCTAGTTTTGTTTAATAAATGTTTGTTTTGTTGTTAATCGGAGTCTTTAATTCGAATAACGCACACATTTCACCGACGGCCCCTCTCTCCTCCTCCACTCGACTAAACAGAAAGAATCCCGACTTCACGGGATATAAAATCATTCCACACGTCATCCCCTGACCAGTGGGCAGTTCTCACCGAACTGTTGCCTATCAAAACGAGGTACAACTTAGTCCTACCTTTGGCAACCCACACATTCATTTTTCTGTCTTTAATAATCTATTTCATTGATAATCCACTATCAATAATGGAAAAGGTGTCTAAATTTGATTCTTATTAGCATTATAGCTCTTTATCTTGATATGCTATGGAGTTATGACTTAAACAGTATAATTCCAGACTGGCAAGTATCTGTACATTGGCACCAACTGAAACAAAAACTAATGAACTATTATAGTTATGTACCTTGTTCAAGAAATGCTTACTAAAATTTACTTAAAAATATACTAAAGTTTTTACAATTTGTCTATTTTTACAACACAAGAACAAATTTCTTTGTCAAAGTTAACCTTTTCATGTAGTCTCTCCCTGTCTTAATTGTTAACTATAAAATTTCCTCTGATGATAGTTATGCTTTCAAAAATTCTTGATTAATTAAAACTTGGATGCTGAATGCATTTAAAAGTTTATATAAAATTAACCTAAAAATATACAAGTATTTACAATTTTTCCATTCTCATGTCACAGGAACAATTTTCTTTGGCAAAATTTACCTTTTTATGTAGGCTCTCCTACATAAAGTAATTGTTCTTGTAACATGAGAACAGACAAATTGTAGACTTTTGTATATCTTTAAATGAATTTTTAAACAAATTTATTAGCCATGTTTTAATTAACTAATGCTTACTAAGTTTAGTGTATCTTATAGTGTAGTGTCAGATAAACTGATTTCCTCAAAGAAAATTAATTTATGAATCATATTAATGATTGTTGTCATGTATTAATTTTTATTATTATTTTTTTTTTATCAATGTTAAATAAATACCATTTAATATATACTTGTAGCAGTATTTAACTTTTAAATTTAAATACTTTAATTTTCATATATACTTACAGATAATAAATCATCAAGTGGTTCCTCAATTTCAGCTTGTCTAAAAAATGCATTTCCACGACATAGTCGCCACAATGTTCGTTCAAAAACAGGTATACGATCTCTCCGGATTACTCCAGCCATAAAACTATAATATATATAATGTACTTTAAACAATCAAAAGTAAATAATGATAAATTTTGTTAGAATTTTCATGATACACATTTTAAAGTAAAATGCTAATCTCTTCTTATTTTCTAATATATATCCATTGTTTAAGAAAACAGAACAATAATGCTCTTCTGTTTCCTTAATAGATTTTATGGAAAATGTATTAAAATGTAAAAGTAAATATAGTGTATCAATTTATCTTTTGAAGTAATTTCTATTGAATTTAAACATCTTTTTTGAAAAATTACATTTATTAAAAAAACATAAGTCTGTCCATATTTCTTACACACAAAACATTTTGCATATAAAATTATTGAAATTTCTAATAATCAATTTTGAAATTTTATTGCTTTTAAGCTTATATAATAGTTAAAGTTAAAAAATTATGTACAAAATTACAAATTTTATAAAAATACTTTTATAATTTGTCCACAACTTTAACTCTGAATCGAAGTACCTTTAAATTTACATGCTTTACTGACTTGAAAACAATAGGAACATTAAATAAACAGAAACAAAAATTACTCAGTAGCTACACTTATGTATTTTTTATCCTTGCAAGTGTGAGATTGCTACTTAAGTACATACTAAGGTTGTAAACAATGTTTAAATAATCTCATAAACATTGCAAAAAATTATTTTTCCATAAAATGTGTAAAAATTTAAAAATAATCGACAATTCAGACCAATCTGGCTGAACAGGACATGAATAAACTGGTTTGACTGTAATTCAATTTTTTCAGAATTAAATATTTACACAATTTCTATTAAAAATAGTAAAGTTTAAAAATAAATAATTATTTACCTTAATTGCAGACCACCTGATATTGTTTCTCTGCTAATTAATGTTGTTTCTATTCCTTCACTAACACTTGGAGAAATATCCTTCTAAAATAATAAGATTTGATTTATTGCATACATATCTCAATATTGTCATTTGTTATTTATAAATGTTTTCATTAAAAAATATCTGTATAAGTAAGATATTAATATCACAAAATTGACATATTTCCTTAAATTAACTTTCTGTTTTTGTAACTTTAGAAAAATGCCAATATAACTGTGAGATAAGTAGGGGGTCAGGGATTACTCCCTTCTGACCACTAATCTGCATGGGCTGGTAAAACCCAATCTCGAGGTTGTTGGATGGCTAGGAGGGCAAATTGAATGGGGAGTGCATTGGTAAGTCGGCAAGGATCCATGGACAAACAAATGACAGATTTTAACATACCAAAATATAAAATTTATTATAAAACTAAATCTAGAATATACAGATCTACATGCAGATAAATGCAGTTACAAATTGAAATGAAAAAATGCAGTTACGAATGCGAACAATAAATCCTTATGAAATGCGAGCTTGACCTAATTTTCTTATTCTGATGCATTTTACATGGAGAGAGAGAGTTTGCAAGTTTCAGCCCCCTTAAATACCTCTCAGGCATATTGGAGAACTTCATTCATATGGGCGGGTCGTTGTCACAGATATGGTGTCGTCTCCTCTTCTTGGATCCAGTCCGAGTTATGAAGGTCCAGGAGATGAAAAGCACACAACTACTGAATTGACGTCCTGATTAATCGCTCCCCTGAGCTTCTGGTGATTTTCTCTTTTATCTCCTTGTCGTGAGAAAAAAGGTCACGTATTCGTCCAATTTTGACGGTTACGGTGCCAAGTTGACAGTTATGAGTCAATTTTCCCTTCAGATTGTTATGACTAAAAGTAACCTCTGCTCTAATTCTTACCAGGATTGTTTTGCTGTCAATTTTGTTTACAAATTCCTAGACAAATTCAAATTTCTGACAAATGTGTACATTCACAGATCTCACATAATAAAAACCAAATCTAACCACTATTTTAATTTAATTCTTTATTAAGTAATTTTTATTTTAATATTAATATACTAGTTCTCAAAATTCTCATCTAAAATACAAATTAAGAAATAACTCAACTTATAAGAATGGAACACAATCCTATTTTTACTGTTAAATTTTGCATGTGCTAACTAGATATTGAAAAATCAATTGTTAAACCTTCATTTAACCAACTAAACACTTTTTTAAAATTATATTGAACTGTTAATAATTATTAAATAAATTGTTGCTAACCAGTCTTCTTATTAATTTTTTATTGCTAACTATTGCTATTTAATCAATCAAAACAGTGATAAAGCTTAACATTCTGTAAACAGTTGTCCCAATAATATAAGTCAAGATCTGACACCAAATTAACTATGGATTAGAAGTTTATTCCTGCTAAGCTGCAATATAGCATTGAGAACTTGTCGTCTTTGGTAACCTCAAACTGATCAAGAAATTAGATATATGTTTTTAATAATGTATATTTTAAAAAAATAAAGAAAAATTGTTTTTAGCTTGTTTATAGTCTCACTTATAAATACAAAACCATTTAAAATAAAATCTTTTCAATTATAATTCAAATTTTAATCTTATGTTTCTTTAAAAAATTCCAAATGTTTTGACAAAGTCAGTATTAACACAAAATTTTAATTTAAAACTAGTTTAACAGCATACATGATAACATGAGTAACCCAGGATATTTTCAATTAAAAATTGAATGATGACTATTTACAAAATATTTAAAAAAATTTTTTTTGTAAATAGTCATAATTCAATTTTTAATTGAAACTAGTTCTTTTTCAAATTTTTATAATCATCAATTTTGAGTTTAATGTGCAATTTTCAATAATCTTTTAAATTAAAGAAACTCAAAATAATAAGGAGCAATTATTTATTGAGGCATTGTAACAATGCCAGGCTGTACTTTTTAATCATCTTTTAATTCAAAAAAATTTTTTTAAATTTGTATATATAGTTAATCAGTGTCTCCAGCCCTAAACTTTCTATATCTGGTCTCAATTTTCATCTAACTCTGTTCTTGAGATTAACAAACGACAGGCAGATGGATAACAGAGGTAATGTAGAGGTCTGCAATTTAAGAATTGGAGCCCAATAATGCAATTCATCACAATTTTTTGTGTATTTATTATACATATTACATATTTAAATGTATACTATACCTCATCAAAAAACATTTGAGCCTTCATTAGCACATATTTCATTTCTGTTAATTCCAAAAATGTTTTCGTCAGAGCATCATCATTTATAATAACCTCTCTTAATTCAGTTTCAAATTTCTCAAGTGTTGCCTAGAAAAATTGAGAATATATGATTCAAATTACATTAATTTAATATATTTAACACACAATTTTATCTGTATTTAAAAGTAAACAAGATGTTCAAAAAATCACTTACAGATCTTAAAAATTTCTTCATTAAATTAAAGCAAACCTCCAAAGAATAAATGTTTATTTAAATATAATTTTTACCAAAAATTCAATTTTGATAGGAGGAGATGAGCATGTTTTTAAAATATATTTTTCAATGCTTGGCAATTATTTACTTAGGCAATAATATTCTCAACTGTTAATTGGCAGCATTGAGCATTAAATTATATTGTAGTAATTTCTCTATCGCCTCTGCAATATTCAAATCTCTGAAGAATTTATTTTTGAAATCAAAGTTAAAATTCAAAGAGAAAAATGATACAAGGGATTTTAGAAATTCAAAAATTAATAATATCTAGCAGATATGATAATAAATACAATAGCACATTAGTTTTAGAAATATTTTTTACACCAATAGAATTTACTAGGTAATGTAGATTGTAAAAGCAAAAACAAATTCCCAAAAAGTAATAAATATAGTGCACTCTTGTTGTTGGTGTCTCAAGCACCTCTGCATATGCGTAACTATCAAGATCTTCAAGTGTGTTTGAGAATCATTGGTGTAATGTTTTTTCTTCTCAGTTGTATTCAGCACTCATCCCTCATTATACATTTCATACTACAATTTGTGCAAAGTCCATTAAAGGTCAACAAACACTTGTTAATATGAACTAATTATCACATGGGGCTGTTTGGATTAGTGAAAAACTCAAATTATACATACATACATATATATATATAAAAGATGTCAAAAAGAATTACAGGCAAATACATATATATATTTTAAAATTTTTTTACTAAATTTGGTAGATATCTTTATATTAAGTGATAATAATTTTATAAATGAATTTTTGTTTCCTTTGCTGATTTCTTTTTATTTGCTTTCTTCTTTCATTTTGTGATTTTTTGCTGAAACATTTAGATGCAAAACAAACAAAATTGATGTGGACTAAACAGGGTTCAGATTAAAAATATGTGTATATATATAATATATATATACACACATTTTTATATATACACATTATTACAATATATATACAGTCGACCCCCCTATAACGTGCGTTCCTATAACGTAGCAAAAAAATTGTAGCAACATTCGTATAAAGCATCTCCTAAAACGTCTTCACTGACTCGTTTCGCGACAAGATTAATAGAGTCTGGACCAATAGTGGATGAGCAGCCAAACTACTTTCCTCCGACCCTGCGCCACGCTACGGAGCGGCTAAATTGAGTTGGTATCGTCTGTACAGTATTATATATAAATTAGGTACTGTACATATAATTATATATTAATTATATATAAATTAGGTACTGTATATATAATTATATATTAACTTAATTTATTGTAACTTTATTATAATTATATATATGCTTTCTGCCGCCTGGCAACACGCTACGGAGATTTTAGGCTAGTAAGTTGAGTTTATTATCGTCTGTACAGTATGTAAATTAGGTACCGTAAGTCTAATACAGCACTAATTTTATACATTTCTTGTGAAAGAAACACTTCT